GTAAATCAACTCAACTTCTTTTGTATTGGATGTAAACTACAAAGCTTTGTGTGTCTCATGGATTAGATTGCGTTAAAAAAAATTCTTACTACAAATGAAAGAAATAGGTATTCAAGCAAGCTGTTGCGTTGATGTTCGTATTGTTGCAGTAAATACTGGTGGATGGGAGCCTACGCCCTCTTTGCTTTTTATTAATGTAGAATTTGAAGTGCGGGGTGAAAAGATTCAAAACATAACATTATGTGTGAAATAACACAAGTTTTAAAATATTAAAATTTTAAGAAAATATTAGATAATCGAATATCCAAACTGTCATAATTGATTTGTTTAGTATGCCGCCGGAAAAGTTGTTTGATTTCTCTAAAATCATTTTCCAATTCTTTGAACAACAATCGAAATATTTGATAATTGTTTAATCAAATATCACTGGGAGTATGTTTGTTTGTGTAGAAGTAATTGAGTATGTTTGTTTGTGTAGAAGTAATTACGATGTCTTTGAAGTTAAAGTATCTGTTTCTTTCCTCTACTTCTGAGAAAAAAAAACATGTTAGTTTTTCTGAGAAGCTACAGTCATTTGTTTAAGACATTTGTTTCTTAAACGCTAGAGCGGTGCTAATATTGTGTTATTTTCCTTAAAAAAAATTCACCCTCAAAGCTCAAAAAGTAGCTAAGTAGCAGGTGAAATGCACATGAATTTCGGGAAAAAAAATATTTTTTAATAAAAAATTATTTATTAGTTACTTTCTAATTATATTGCATTGCTACCTAATCCAAAAAGGTAAATGACAAATAAAAAGTACGATATTTATTATTTTAAAAAATATGTGAAACAAATAAGGAAAAATGTGTCCAGGCCCCAAAAGTGGGAACTTCGTGTGACTAGCCCCCCTGTATTTTGCCCCATGTGTCACCAGTAGAGAGGGCATAGCAGTGGACCCGGCAAAGGTTACGGCAGTTCTTGATTGGGAGTCACCGAAGACGGTGACAGAGATTCGCAGCTTTTTGGGTTTAGCTGGATATTACAGAAAGTTCATTCAGGACTTCTCGAAGATTTCGGCGCCGATTGTACACCTTAAGAGGAAGGGTGTACAGTTCATATGGAGCATGGAGTGTCAGAAGGCCTTTGATATTTTGAAGGCTAAGTTGACTACATTGCCAGTTTTGACTATTCCGAGCAGCGACAGGACATCCGTCATGTATTCAGATGCATCGTTGGCAGGCTTAGGAGGCTTAATTTTGCCCCATGTGGAATAGCCCCAAATACGCATAGTATTTGCGACGAGGCCCCGAATTGACTCTTTTCAGAAAAAGCCCAGCGGAAGTTACTATCTTGCCCTCTGATGGGACTGAGCTGGGTTAATGTGCCCCTCACCTTTACAGTACTCTCCCTCTCTTTCTCTCTCTTCCACCTAGCACCGTCATCAAGAACTCTTCATCTTCCTAATTTCTGTACGAATTTCAACGTTTCTAGGGTTTTCGCCGGAAAAATATCGTCGTCTACGGAAGAATCCAGTAACGACTACGAGGTCGGGCACCGAGCCGAGTTGGAAGGAAAAGGCGCTTCATCAGCGGATGGCAGCGCGGAGGAAGCTACGGAAGCTACGAAAACCCTAATCGAAATGCAAAAGGAGGCATTACAATGGCGAGACCAGAAAAGGAGGACGACAATGGCTGGGCGTACCAACGAACCCCCCTCAAAAAAACAGTAAGTGTTATGTTATACTGCGAACAGACAATGCAGATTAACCCAATATTGTTAGTTCTAGGCTTTGTCCAATGTTAGTTCTAAATTTATACCAACGTTAGATCTAGTTTAAGTCCAATGTTAGTTCTAATATGAGTCCAATGTTAGTTCTATAATATTACGTGTTAGCTCTATTTTGTTCCCGTTAGTGCTAGGTCTAATATTGTTAGTTCTATTTTGTTCCCGTTAGTGCTAGGTCTAATATTGTTAGTTCTATTTTGTTCCCGTTAGTGCTAGGTCTAATATTGTTTCATATGTCTTATTGAACTTACAAATTCGAAAAAAATTTGCAGGGAAAAAATTTCTCTAAAGGGCTCAGCAGAAACAATAAGGTTAACGGCCAATATCGGGGCTTATTGGGGATTTATGAAACGCATTGCCTGAAGATCCGTCAGTGGCATAGGGATGCATACTGCGGTTCTATATTTCAACACTACATTTTATTTGGGGCTTACGGATGAAGGATAGACTGATTATGCCAACCAGTGCAGAGCTTAAGAAGGAGTTGCTAAATGAAGCGCACCGTACTCGGTACACAGTACATCCAGGGACTACCAAGATGTACAAAGACCTGAAGAGACGTTTCTGGTAGAGTGGTATGCGGAAAGAGATTGCAGACTATGTGGCTAAGTGTTTTTCCTGTCGGCAGGTGAAGACAGAGCGTCAGAGACCAGTAGGATCACGTCAGCTTTTAACCATTTCGGAGTAGAAGTGGGTGGACATTTCTATGGACCTTATTGTAGAGTTGTCGAAATCGAAGAAAGAGAATGATTCGATTTGGGTGGAAAATGGATAGACTGATGAAGCCAATACATTTTATTCCAGCAAGGACTAACTATACAGCTGAGATGTATGCGAGGATACTTATTCAAGAGACTATTCGACTTCATGGAGTCCCAGATGCGATAGCATCAGATTGAGATTTCAGTGTTCATTCCACATTTTTGGAAGGGTTTCCAGGATTTCCTTTGGGTAACATATTTATCGTACTATGGTGTATTTCATCCACAGACGGATGGTCAGACAGAGAGAGTGAATCAGGTGTTGGAAGACACATGTTGAGGACCTGTGTCATTGACTTTCAAGGCAGTTGGGAAGATCACATTCTATTGATAGAGTTCGCTTATAACAACAGTTACCAAGCGACGATCGATATGACCCCGTATGAAGCAACGTACGGGAGGCCTTGCAAAATCGACTATATGTTGGATAGAGCAGGAGAAGAATTTAATACTTGGGCCAGAGCTTATGAGACAGATTACTAAGGAAGTAACATTGACCAGAGATCAGATTCTAGCCGTTTAGAGTCGGCAGAAGAGCTATGCAGATAAGAGGCGAAGATCCTTGGAGTTTCAGGTTGGGGACTCAGTTATGTTGAAGGTATCGCCTATGAAAGGCGTGCAACGATTCGGATGACGGAGGAAGCTTGCGCCGAGATATATTGGACTATTCCAGATTTTGGAGCGCATTGGAGTTGTGTCATACAGACTAGATCTTCCAATATCGATGGCTAGTATACACAATGTATTTCATGTTTCTATGCTCAAGAAACACTTGCATGAGGAGGAGCAGCAGTGAGTGTTGGATGCACCAGAGATTGAGCTTCAGGATGATTTGACTACTATTAAGATTCCGGTTCGTATTCTTGCCAGAGAGGACAAGAGGTTTAGAAACAAGGTAATTCCCTTGGTGAAAGTTCAGTGGAACCGGAGAGGTATTGAGGAGATTTCTTGGGAGCGCAAAGAGGATTTGCGTCGCGACTATCCACACCTGTTAGAACATGTAAATTAAAATTTTTATGATATGTATCTTATATGATGTTTTATATCTTTGGTTATATTTACATTTAACACTAGAATGGGAATATTCACGCTAAATTCTTAATCTTTCGGAACACATGGTATATATATGGGGGGTTCCTTGTTTGGATTTTTCACCCGATGTACTAGTTTCCACTAGATTAGGGTTTGAGCGGGAATATTACCATTTTAGATCGTTAAGTATAAATATCTCTATATGTTTATCTGGAAATTCATGTGGTGAGATGCGTATGGTTTCCGAATTTCGAGGACGAAATTCTTCTAAGGGGGGAAGAATGTAGAACCCCGTAAATTTTTTATATGAATATATGTGAATTATTAGTAAATAAATAATTCTTTTATGATAAATAGCTTGAGGCCATTGATGTACATGATAACAAGTTATTTGAGATGATATGAGAGTATGAGTGTAGAGTTTTGTGCGTTGGTTTTGCAAATAAGTAAAACATGCACAAAAACAATATTGTTCCAGATCAGTCGACACATCAGTCGACTGACTATATCGGTCGACACATCAGTCGACTGATATGCTGATTTCCAGTTTTTACAGGTTTCGGGTCTGTTTTGTTTTGGTTCGGGTTTGGGTCGGGTTTAGCTGTTTGTATATATCCTTCTTCACCCGAAAACATCCCCTCTCATCCTCAGATCAGAGAAACCCTAGCCCCCTCTCCCCTCTCTCAAACCCTAAGTTGTTCTTGGTGATTTGGGGAAGAAATCGGAGGATTTTCGGCGGGATTTTCAATTTGCAGCGAAAGGAATCACTCCCCCTCAGATCCAGGAGCTCTTCATCACCCCAGAGGCGAGTAACAATCTCGTCCCACTCTGATCCCTTTTGTTTTTACACGAATTTATTGAGTTTATGAGTTTTGATTTAGCCCAAAAACGGTATTTTTGTACAAATTTAACGAAATCTTTATGTTATATGCAGGTGGGGCTTTTGAGCCTTCTCAGTTTTTATAAAGAACCAACAATGTTTTTATTAAACGAGCATTCTAGTTCTGAAATGTGATTTTGAAGAGATTTAACATGAGTTTTGTTTCTACATGAGATTTAAACATGAGTTTTTTTTTCAAAAAAATGATTTAAAACATAAAGCTACACATGTTAGCGGTTTTGTTTCATGATATTCCTTATGGAATTTCTGTTTCAGTTTAGTTCTTATATGTTAATATCAGTATCTTCATACTTGGGTATTGCATGGAATGGAGTTTAGATCGAATTTAGGGATATATAGCCAATCTGTGCAGAGGTTCATGCCAGTCTGTCGGTCGACTGATAAAGTCGACGACGGGCACCATTTTTTTAGCCATCAGTCGACAGATCAGTCGACTGACGAGGCTGGTTTATTTTCCCAGTTTCTCAGTCGACTGGTCAGGTCGACTGTGCGAGCTGCAGGCTGTGCCTGCCTGAGCCTCACATCGACATATGAGTCGACTGACGTCATCAGTCGACAACATGCAGTCGACTGAGATGAGCCCTGTTTACAGATTTTGATCTGCTCTTGCATAGTTGTCTTTTCGGGGTCGCCTCGATAACCTGACCGCTAGCTTATCATGTAAATGGACTTATCTGCTACATGTGCGGGTTCGACTTATGTCACAAGTTTAGACATGTACACCGAGATTGCGCGGTGAGTCTTAGTTTATGTATATCTGTCCGCCTTACTTTTTCACAGTTATACCAGTCCTTGTGTTGCCGACAAGCATTACTTAATAGTCCTCTGTGTTGGACATACCTCTTAGTCCTCGTGTTGGATACGCATAGCTATTTAATCCTCGTGCTGGATATGCATTACCATCCGGTCCATGCGTTGGACAACGGTCACATCCGGTCCATGCGCTGGACAACTGTCACATCCGGTCCATGCATTGGATAACGGTTATATTCAGTCCATGAGTTGGACGTTTACTTCATGCAGTCCATGAGTTGGACGTTTAATTTATATAGTCTATGTTTTGGACACTTAATCGTTTTCAGACATGACACTTATTGTGGCCATGACGCGATTACACTTATCGGTAGAGATGGGTTTGCATTCGTTTCCTTTATTGTTTCTTGTATTAGATCTCGGGTTTAGTATTTAGGGATTTACAATTTGAGATACAAGGTATATACATGAGGGTTTCCTTGTTTGGATTATTTCGCTCGACGTACCTATGCTCGTGTTGTAATTTCCTAAGTATAAAAATCCATTGTTGTTAGGATAAATGATTTATAATATTATGTATTAACTGTACTTTCATATACATCGAGCCCTATCCCTTGGGGTTGGTTGTGATGTTGCTCGCTAGCGCTTTGACGCTCGTTGTCCCTCCCCCTTTCAGGTAACGAGCCAGGAGCCCGGAGAGTCGCAGGTTGATGGCGATGTACTTTAGCTCAGTCATCTATTTAGTTATATTTTATTTATGGATCTCCACTGTAGATTTTGTTGAGACATTTGAGGACTTTATTCTAGATGTTGTAAAGGCTGTGTGCCTTATTTCCTTTACTCAGACTTGTTGTACTTGAGACTTGTAAGAACCCCAGTTTATTCATTTCAGACATTGACTTTGTATTTCTGTATGTTGGATGACGAAATATGATTTTGATTTCTATCATTTTGTCAGTCATATTTTGTATTATCTTTTACTTGCTTTTGTACCTACACCTGTTATTGACTCTTCTCAGACTTGTTGTATTTGAGACTTGTTAAGAACCCCAGTTTATTCATTTCAGACATTGACTTTGTATTTCTGTATGTTGGATGACGAAATATGATTTTGATTTCTATCATTTTGTCAGTCATATTTTGTATTATCTTTTACTTGCTTTTGTACCTACACCTGTTATTGACTCTACTAGAGTGATAGAATTGTGATGGTGAAACATGTTATTGCACGGTGTGGTGCATGGCAGGTTTGACATCCTTGGTTTCACCTTGGACTGCAGCCTTGTGTGAACCCAGGGGCGTCACAAGACCATCTTGAGTTTACTGTCAAGGCATGAGCATGACATCTAGCTTCAATATTTGCTATAAAAAGACTCTACATATACCTTAACCTCTCTTATAATTCTTGACACATCCCTTCTATTCTTCCCCATAGTACCTTGGTTTATATAATTCCATAGCATCCATACAGCCACACAAAAACATCACAAGTTCTCTAGTCTCATTGCCTCTATCACCAATTGCATCCAATCCAAAAATCAAGATTGCCTTTCATAGTTACAAAGCAACAACAAATCAATCCCAACCAAGCATTTCTTGCTATTTTGCACGAGAACAATGCATGATTTTGATCTTCCCCAATCTTACCACAAGCTACACAATGCAAATCACGAGCAATTAGATTATGCTTTACTGGTAGAAAATTGTAATTTAATCTCCATATAAATACTTTTATTTTGTTTAGTATCTTTAGAGACCAAATTCTCTTCCAGTAAATCAAATCTCTAAAGCTCGACGATTCTGCATAAGAGTTATCACCCAAATGATTTTGCACAGAAACCACTAATTTATAAGCACTCTTAACGGTGAGCGAGCCATAATTATCGTAATTCCACAATAAGGAATCTTGAGTAATAGTAATACTCAAAGGAATTCTTAAAATGGTCTGGACTTCATGAAAGAAGAATTTTTGAAGAAAGTCCATCCGCTAACACCTACTTTCTTAATCAATTAATTCTTTTACCGACATAGGTCTTTCGACAATGTTGCAATAAGAGACGGGCTTAAAAAACCAAGGCACTTGAATCCATGGATTCTCCCAAAATACACACAGTGCTTTCGTTGCCAACACGCCATCACATCTCCTTAGATAAAAGGTCACTTTCAGCTAGAATACTTCTCCCAAGGTAAGATGAATTATTGCCAATCTCAACATCTAAGAAATTCCCATGCCGAAAATATTTATCCTTCATAACTTGGTAGACAAGGGATGACTGATTAGTGATTAATCTCTAGCCTTGCTTTGTAAGTAATGCCACATTAAAAAGTTCTATGTCTCGAAATCCTATTCCACCTCACCCCTTTAGAACACACAAATTTTCCCATATACACCAATGGATCTTCCTTTCATTCTCCCCATAACCCCACCAAAGTTTTGCAATAACGAAATTAGGGACTTGCGCATGGAAGAAGGCATAAGGAATACACTCATTAAACAAGTCAGGATTGATTATGCCATTGCTTTGATAAGAATTTCTTTGCCCACCTTAGGCAATAATTTCTCTCTCCAACCCTGCAATTTCTTCCAAACTTGGTCAACAAAAAAAGTAAATGTATTTTTCTTGCTTCTACCAATTTTTGTGGGAAAACCAAGATACGTTTCATGTTTAGTCACCTCAATAATATTGAGAATGTTCTTTATATGTTGCCTCGCATCATGATTAGTATTCAGACTAAAAGAAATGGCTGACCTACTAAAATTGACACCTTGACTCGAACATCTTTCGTACTCTGCTAATATACTCGAGACAACTGCTGCATTAAGGTGATTGCCCAGGGTGAATATAAGGTTGTCATCTGTAAAAAATAAATGATGAATGCTTGGACCTTCCCTGCTAGCTTTCACTCCTTGAATTAAACCCTTTCGCTCCGCATCAAATAATAAACAAGACAACCCTTCAGCGACAATGAGAAATAGATATGGTGAAATTGAATCTTCTTGTCTCAGTTCACATGATGGATGAATTTGTCATGTTTCACTCCATTTATAACAACAGAATAGGAAACTTCTATTGATATAGTTGTATGGTCATTAAAATAAGACTATTATTTTAGCTTACAAAGACCTTAGTTATATTTCATTATTTTGAAGTACGAATATGACAAGATGCCCTATCAAAAGTATATTAAATATCTCAAAATATAGTATATACAAAAAAATATATCTAGAAGTGATTCCGATGGAGACCCTTAGAGATTAGAGGAGTGGACCTTTGTCATCACTCTACCCAGCAGGGAATGAACAAAAGGCACTCGTAGATATATTTGAACAATCGGAAGCTAACAAATACATAAAATTAGCCAAAATAAGTGTTTATATCCATCCTAAAAAAGATGAGGAGAGAGAGAGAGAGACACTTATATCCATCCTAAAAAAGACGAGGAGAGAGAGAGAGAGAGAGAGAGAGAGAGAGAGAGAGAGAGAGAGAGAGAGAGAGGGGAGAGAGAGAGAGAGAGAGAGAGAGAGTTGGCTAAGGATTGGCCGCGGCGTCATTGCTATCCTCGCTTGAAGAAAGAAACTCTGAGATACCATTCTCTCGAACGATAGCTTTCAATTTCTGTCCCCCTTTTGGTTTGCTGAAGAACCTGTCCAGAAAATATAAAAATGACAACCATGAAAGTCAACTTACGAGCTTGAGGTAGTTCTCCTGAAAAGATCAAGCTGTTACAAGCTCTTCACATGGACTAGCATATAGTGGGAAAACAAAATCTCTAAAGTTACTGAATCTTAAACTCTATAGTTACATCAGAGCAGATTGTAAAGCATTGATTAATATCTTGAGGTAGTGAGAGGACTCCAATCTTAGAAAGAAAAAAGTCCCAAACTTGCTTAGTGAAAGAACAATATAAGAAAAGGTGGTCGTGAGCCTCCGGTTCATGTTGGCATAGGGAACAGCTAGGATCACCAGTCTAACCTTCACTGAGGAGCCTACCTTAGTTATATTTCATGTTGAACTTTGTACGGAAAGCTTTATCTTGGAGGACTATTGTGCAAACTTTCTCTTCCTATATTACTTTTCCAACCATTTCCCCACATTATTTAATTATGTGAATGATAATATTCTCTCTCCTACTTTTTTTTATGATGCCTCTGCGCACGCGGGAATCAAACTTAGGTCCCTCACGAGGGAGCGACACGTTTTTGCCATGTGACTGCTGCCCACCATAGTCCTTAACGATATTGAACCTAATGCAAGATTGGATTCTTGTACCTAATGCAAGGTTCTCCCCCCCTTTCCAATCGAGAACCAATATGAGAGCATACAAGAGAGGTGGTATACCGCGCTAAGTCAAATCTAAACCAAATATTAGCCACTTATACTTTAGTTTCCTCGAACATCTGAAGAAATTCAACGAGAAGTTAATGTTTGTAAAATAACTTGATGTTTGTATTATCTTTTACATAAATGAATAGAAAAAAGAAACTTTCTAGTAATAATACCAAAATCTCTGAAATATTTTGCATATGATCCAGCCACGGAAATTTGTAGGGCAAGTGAAGAGAGTAGCATGTTTTATTTGTGCTCTAAAAGAACAGAAGGCGTGACTTGCAAAGGACAAAAAAATTAGCAAATTTATATAAAAAGTTAGGATAAAATTTTAATAAACTCCTAATAAGTTTTTGTGTTTGACACTTAATTCCGAAAATTTTTAAAACTCTCAGTAAATCCCCGATAACTTTAAAAACTTGATAATACCATAATGTAATCATCGGAGGTAAAGAAAAAATCAAAAGTTTTGCGGGTTTTCCGAAATTTCCAAAGTTAGCCATGGTATTGTGACAGTTTTATTTTTTGGGTGTCGAGTGCCTCGCACCAAAACTTATTGGGGGCCTAGCGAAACTTAGTCCTTAATATTCTCTTATTATTGTTGGGTTTGGGTTAAACGTTTTTGTGTATGATCCTCGATTAAAAAGCTCCCTTGAAGCTGTGGTACTCAAAATTTAGCAAGAAGTAGAATATTAACTCCCCCAAAATGATGACATTTCAGAGCCAGAGAAATCATGAGCTTGGGTGTCCGTCTGTGATGAGAGAGGATCCTCGGAGGGGGGAAACAGGCACTGATGAGAATATTAATGCTCTCATATCCAAATGTAGAGGCAACAGGAATCGGACTAAAGTTGCTTCATTTGATTGCAAGCACGGAGTTGATGTAATTGCTGAAATGGTTAACCACCTTTTACCAAACCAACATGAAGAACAACTGCTCGCAAAGTGCTTGACGAAATGCGGCTGCGAACAGGGAATTCCTATCGAGCAACAAAAGGTCGTTAAAATGTTGATCAGGAGCAGTTTCAGTTCCAAATGGCTTGCATCTGAGATAGAAGAGGGTTCGAAATTGTATTTCAATTGTGAATTCCTCAATGTCGTAGTTGAGGGTGGTTTCTTCGTGTTCATCCAATATATCCTGTGGTACGTTGCTCCTAACTTCATACTCTGTTATTTATCTCTCATGCGGATGCATCTCATATTTTATTTGAGAGGAATAAATATAATTGTTAAAGTAAGAGAGAGAGAGTCTTGGGTAAATTTCCCTTAAATTGAATATTGAGTGTGCACATATATTTATACAAGTAGAGGAGGGTGAGGTTTGTTCTCACAGCCAATGTGAGACAAAAAACACACTACTAACACTATTATCAACAGCCCCCCTCAAATTCATGTTGGATCAAACAAAGTCAGTTTGCGTACAAGAAACTGGAACCGATGAACAAGTAAGGCCTTTGTGAAAAAATCTGTAAGCTCGTTGGCGGATAACATATGAGGAAGTAGAATTGTCTTATCCTTGATAACTTGTTGATGGACAAAATGAGCGTCAATCTCAGTTTGGTCCTCTCATGAGATACTGGATTATTAGCAATCTGGATGACACTCTTATTATCATAGTATAGAGGAGTAGAAGTCGAAACAAAAATACCGAAATCAATGAGAAGACGATGAAGATGAATAATTTCTTTAGCTATTGTGGACATTACACGATACTCTGTCTCGGTGCTGGAAAGAGCAACAATATCTTGTTTCTTACTCAGCTAGGAAATTAGAGAATCACCAAGAAATATACAATAACCTGTGGTAGACTTTCTAAAAGCGGGATCATAGCCCAATCAACATCAGAATATGCACAAATATCTAACTTGGATGTAGCAGAAAACAAAAGAGAGTGAGTGCTAGTACATCGGAGATACTGAAGAATCCGTAATAAGGCAACATAGTTTACAGAACATGAGGTGCTAACAAATTGACTAACAATACCAACAACATGAGAGATATCTGATCGAGAGATGCACAGATAGACCAACTGGTCAACAAAATGTCGATATCGGGCAGGATCAGATAGAGGCTCACCATTAGTAGAGCGAAGTTTGATATTCTGTTGGAGTGGAGTATCGACAGTTGCATCGTCAGTTAACTCAGCTCGATCTAGAATATCCGATAGATACTTCTGTTGATACAGTAGTAAACCCGCGGGCCTTGAGAAATTTCTAGACCAAGAAAATACCGAAGAGATCCAAGATCCTTCATGTGAAACTGTTGTTGTAACTGAGATTTTACGTACTGTATACCGGCCACATCATCACCTGTATGATCATATCATCTACATAGATGAGTAATAAAACTCTGTCATACGATGTAGTACGAACAAACAGAGAAGCATCTTGATGACTTTCCATAAAGCCCGCCTTGAGCACGATATCGTGAAAACACTCAAATCAAGTGTGATGTGCCTGCTTGAGACTATAAACAACACGGCGAAGGAGACATATATATCCCGGAGGAATATTGGACCCTGGAGACGGTTGCATAGATACTGTCTCAGATAAAGAGCCATGGAGAAAAGTATTTTTGATATTCATCTAGTATAAGGGCCAACGATGAGCAGCATCAACCGCAAAAAGAGTATGAACAGTGGGCATCTGAGCAACAGGAGCAAATGTCTCCTCATAATCTATACCTTGTTCCTGAGTAAAATCTCGAACCATTAAACAAGTTTTCTGACGTTTAATGGTGCCATCAGGACGATATTTGACCTTATAAACCCATTTACTACCAACTAAAGAGATGCCAGGGGGATAGGGAACAACATCCCAGGTATGTGTTTGCTGAAAGGCCTAAAATTCCTTAGCCATAGCCTGTCGTCACTCTGAAAATTGAACAACCTCTTGAAAGGACTTTGGTTCAACTGTGTATGAATGACAACAAGAAAATTATGAAAGATAGATAAATAGAAAGTAACCGAAGCATACCGTGCAGGCATGACATGTGGGCATTTGCCTCGATGAAGAACAAGAGGAACCTCAGGCAGGGGAGATGCTGACGCAGGTGCATAAAGGTCAAAATAGTATTTTCTGTAGGGATCAGATGGTGGAAGAGAAGGCTCAGGTGAGGGAGAGTCAACAGAAGGAGATGTAGAGATTTTAGGGAGATCTCGAAAGGAGAACTAAGGTAAAGAAGTGGGTGATGCAGCTGACAAAGAAATACGATCAGTAGTGTGAAGGAAATTAAAATCATCGGAAGCAGAATAAAATAGAGAATCCTTTTCGAACTGAACGCATTGAGATATATAAACTCGACGAGATGTGGGATCATAACAACGATAACCTTGATGTTTCGAACTAATTCCTAAATAGACACAGAGAACAGCTCTGAGAGACAACTTATCACGTTCGTGAGATGACAGAAGAACGAAACAACGACAACCAAAAACACGGACCAGATCATAGCGGGGAGGATGAGTATAAACACGACTATGAGGAGTAACATTGAAAAGTGAGCTAGATAGAGTGATATTAATGGCATGAGTAGCAGTGAGAATGGTCTTTGCCCAGAAATGACAAGGAACAGAGTAAGAAATGAGCATGGATCGAGCGGTATCGAGAATATGACGATGTTTGTGTTTAGCAATACTATTTTGCTCATGAGTGTAGGGACATGACTGTTGAAAGATAGTCTCATAAGAGGATATGATAGAGCGTATGGTAGAGGATAAGTACTCTTTGATACAGTTAGAACGAAAAACTTTAATACGAGTTTTCCATTGAGTGAAGATCATCGCAATGAAGGCTTGATAAGCAGCAAATACTCAGAGAGATTTTAAGTAGGTAGACCCATGTATAACGAGAGAAATCATCGATAAAACTAACATAATATAAGTAGCCAAATGAAGAAGGCAGAGGAGCTAGCCTCTAGATATCAGAATGGACCAAATCAAATAAGGAAGTAGAAACAGATGTACTGGTTGGAAACGATAGAGAAGTGAACTTAGCTAATTTACAACTAGTACATGACTCAATATGAGAACGAGAAGATACGGGACCAAGTACTCCAGACTGGATAAGACTTTTCAGTCTTTTATGAGACACATGACCAAGTCGTCTATGTCACAAATCTACGGAAAGCAATGTAGATGATTTTGGACTTACATAAGCAACAAGAGAACGTGGACGTATGGACTCTGGAAGGTGAATATATTTTAGAAAATACAGTTTGTGTCTCTTCCGACCGGCCCTAATAATCTTACTTGATACGGGTGTATCTTTTCTTAGGAACTTAGCGATCCTCATGGGAGCTTGAGGATAGATGATTCTCATGATAACTTGAGAATAGAGGTGTAAAACAACACAGTGGAACACAGGTTGAAGCGTGAAATGAGACGGCGAATCGAAGCATCCAGTTTCTCGTGAGTCGACTCATAACAGTCATGAGTCGACTCATGCCTGTCATAAGTCGACTCATGAAACTCAGCCGTTTTGTCAAAAGTCTATGACCATTCGACTCATCACTGTATGAGTCGACCCATGTGTCATGAGTCGACTCATATATGCACATGAGTTGACTCATCGACGGTTTCCTGGTTTGTTTGGGTTTCTGTTTGCATGAATTCCTGTGGGATTTGGGCTTGGTTATTTATCACTTTACCATCCACGTTGTTACACCTATATAAGGGATTATTTAAGGGTTTCTAAACAGAGGAGATTGTTAGAGATGTAGATCTAAGGAGATTAGGTCTAAGAGAGATCAGTTTTGATCCAGAGAAAATCAGATGTAATCAAAGAGAGATTCTAATCAAGAGAGATTAGGGTTTAGAGAGAATTGAGAATTTGTTCTCGATTCTAGTGAGATTGTGAGAGAGGAATTATAACTTTTTCATATCATAATCTAGAGAGGGTATTTTCCTTCGCCACATACTGAATTATTCTTGTGTTTCTGTCATCCTCTTCTCAACCCACTTTTGATAATTCCGCGATCAAAAGTGCTCGCACGGCGACTCGTATCATTACCCATCTGTGGATCCTGCACAATACATGTATCATAAGAAAATAAGACAAGTAGGCCATCTATATATAAGTAGCTAACAAAAATTAAATTCAAACACAACTGAGGAGTCAAATAGACCGGGCTAAGAGTTAGACGACTATATGGGTCAGTTTATGGGGTGATAGAGCCATACTGAGTGATAGATAAAGGTTATCTAGCAGCCGTGTAGATAGGAGAAAGAGAAGACAGAAGATAAGAGGGAGGCATTACAAGTCATATGAAAGAAACAACCAGAGTTAAAAATTCAGAGATCATTCATACCAGAGACCGAAGGGTTTGCTGAAGAACCAGCAAGACGCATACCAGAGAGTTATGCAGTAGATGTAGAGGTTCTATGCTGAAGAACATCAATTTGATGGCAAATACCAGAGAGTTGTGCAACAGATGGAGATATGATATGCTGAAGAGCCGTAATTTGACGGCTAATATTTGCAATAGCTTGAAGAGCCTCAATTTGACGGCGAATATCAGGGAGTTTTGCAGTAGATGGAGAGGTGGTATGCTGAAGGGCCGTAATTTGACGGCTAATATCTGTAATAGCTTGAATGGTAGGGTCTGAAGTGGTAGATGGTATAACATTGACCGGTAATCCTGATGCACTAGAGGATCGAGACTGAGGGGATCACTGAGTTCCTGAGGAACGTAACTCAGGATGAAGCTGCAAACATGTCTCAAAGCGGTGTCTTTTCTTCTTGCAATAGGTGCAAAGGAGCTTAGACCGAGCCTGAAAAGTAGGTACCAGTGAAGAAGCCATAATAGTAGCAATTCAAAGTTCAAGATAATAATCCTTGAACGAAACCCAAATATTTAAAGGAGAACCCAAATGTTAATGTAGTAACCCAAAGGTTAAAATGACTATCAAATCTAAGAAAGAAGCAACCGGCGACCAAGGTGGCCCGAAGATTGGTCGGATTTGATGCTCACGCTGGAAACCTACAACTGATTAATGCCGATGTTGAGACGTCGAGATGGGATTGAAACAACGATGCCGTAACTGACTGTGAAACGACAATGCCGTTTATTTGAGGTCGAGAGATGGCTTGAAACGGCGATGTCGTTAATTTGAGACCGAGAGACGGTCTTGAAACGGAGATGCC